TGTTGTTGTTGTTGTTGTTGTTCTTTAACATGGTGAAGCTGCTCTGAGTCCCTGTTACGGGAAAAGAACAGAATACAACAACTAATAATAATAATATACAGATTATAGCCATCAAATTATAAAAATGATTAAAACTTTTATACAGTCCCAGTTAGCTCTATAACATGTATAAAGCAAAATGTTTACACTAAAATTACAAAACTGTTTCATGCTAAACATATCACAATTTGAAGTCGAAGGCTTCCACCGCTGGCATCCATGGTTTTTGTATGAGTTTTTCAGGCTCTGTGGCCAAGGTCTAGAAGATTCTATTCTTCTCAGCCATTTTCTTGTTTTTCTCTTCACCTTCTTACAACTCAGTACAGACTGTATTACATTCACCATTTGTTTGATTATTTTGAATTTTTCCCCTTTCCCACCATTTTCTGTTTGGTTCTTTGCTTGTTTTGAGACCCTTCTGTGGGTAGAAATAATGCAGTTGGACACCACTTTAACTGTCATGACTCCATCCATCCAACAGAATCCTGAGATTTATAGTTTTGGTGAGGCACCAGAACTCTTTGGCAGAGAAGGCAAAAGACTTTGTAAAACTACATGTCCCAGGATTGCATAGGATGAAGCTGCATAGGATGAAGTAGTGTCAGATTGTTTTACTTCTACAGTGTAGATGCACCCTGAATTCTCTGTTAAGGAAAGGAGAGAGTCAGGCTGTGCTGAACTTCCCATTATCAATCATAGGGCAACCCCTCTTCAAAGCAGTGATGGCAGCAGCTTTCTCCTTACCTGCATTTTGATGTGTCCCTAACCTGAACGTTTGCCTTTCAGAGCCAGTCCAAGGCTGAATTTTTCAAGAGCCGAATGCCTTAGGCTGCCAGTGTCTGTCCGTGCTTCTAGCAGGGATCAGCTACCATGGAAGACGTAGAGACACGTTTTATGCATTTCCTGCAGCCCATAAGGGACCTTACCAAGAACTGGGAGGTCGATGTGGCGTCTCAACTGGGAGAGTACTTGGAGGAGGTAAGATGCAAAATCCAAAACACATTTTCATCAAATATTGGGAGATTCACCAGATATCAGGAAACAAATTGGGACAATAAGAACATTATTACATTTATAACTTAGTAAGCAGATCAAATAACAGTAAGCAAAGGAATTCAAAATAGAGGTAAATTGATGTTATTATTTGATTTGAAGCAAAGGTAACAATAGAAAGACTTAGATATTATAAGTTAAGTTGTAATTGGTTGACTGGCCAAACCCAAAGGATGCTCAACAATGGCTCCTATCCTTCTTCATCCTGGAGAGAAGTGACCAGTGGGGTGCCACAGGGTTCTGTCCTGGGCCCAGTGCTATTCAACATCTTTATCAATGATGTGAATGAAAGAATACGGGCCATACTTATCAAATTTGCAGATGACACCAAATTAGGAGGAATAGCTAATACCCCAGAGGACAGAAGGAAAATTAAAAATGGCCTCATTAGATTAGGAAGCTGGGTCAAAGTTAACAAAATGAATTTCAACATGGAGAAATGCAAGGTACTGCACTTAGGGCAGAAAAATGAAATGCATAGATATAAAATGGGAGACACTTGGCTTAACAAGACTTATACGTGTGAAAGGGATCTAGGAGTCCTAGTGGACCACAAATGAACATGAGTCAACGGTGTGATGCAGCAGCTAAGAAAGCCAATGCAATTCTGGGCTGCATCAGTAGAAGTATAGTGTCTAGATCAGGGGTAGGCAACCTTTTTCCTTTAAGGGCCGAGGGACTTCAGCTCCCAGAAGCCTCAGCTATGTTTGCCAATAGTCAGTCCCATGTTGGCCAATAGCTCCCAGGATTAAGGGAGCTGAAGTCCCTCGGCCCTTAAAGGGGAAAGGTTGCCTACCCCTGGTCTAGATCAAGAGAAGTAATAGTGCCACTGTATTCAGAGGCTGGGTGGCCATCTCTCCCAGGGAGGGCTTGGATTATGTCTTGCTGCATGACAGAATGGGGTTGGACTCGATGGCCCTTGGGGGTCTCTTCCCGCTCTAGGATGCTATGACCGCCAAAGACATATGGGATGTTATTTCTGGGCATCACAATTCAAAAAGGATGTTGAGAAGCTGGAGCGTGTCCAGAGGAGAGCAACTAAATTGGTGAAGGGTCTGGAAACTATGCCCTATGAGGAACGACTTGGGGAACTGGAGATGTTTAGCCTGGAGAAGAGACAGTTAAGAGGGGATATGATAGCCCTGTTTTAATATTTGAAAGGATGTCATATTGAGGAGGGATCTAGCTTGTTTTCTGCTGCTCCAGAGAATAGGGTGCAGAACAACGGATGGATGCTAGAGGAAAAGAGATTCCACCTCAACATTAGGAGGAACTTCCTGACAGTGAGAGCTGTTCGACAGTGGAACACACTCCCTCGGAGGATGATGGAGTCTCCTTCCTTAGAGGTTTTTAAACAGAGGCTGGATGGCTATCTGTCAGGGATGCTTTGATTGAGAGTTCCTGCATGGCAGGGGTTGGACTGGCCCTTGTGGTTTCTTCCAACTCTATGATCCTAAGTTGATACTATAAGGAAGGTACAAATGTAACCTCTCTACATACTTTAAACTTCCTGTATTTTGTTTGAATTTATGGAATGGAATGCAATAGTGTATGCCAGTGGTTCCCAAACACTGGTTTTCCAGATGTTTTGGACTTCAGCTCCTGGAATTCCTGACTGCTGGCTAAGCTTGGAATTGAAGTCTAAAACACCTGGAGGACTAAAGTTTGGAAATCACTATTGTATACAGTATTATAAAGCAAAATTATAAGAGGTAGAGAGTAAACAGCGTTCTGTGCAATCATGCTGGCCATATATTCACAGAGTAGTCTCCGGCAATGCTGGCTCTTCAGCTTAGTAAAGGAGATGAGCACCACCTCCTACAGTCAGACACAACTTGACAACCTTGTCAACGGGGAAAGGGTGGGAGGGTTGTGGGATTTTGGATTGTATTTTAATATTGTATGAAGTTTTTAAATTGCTGTGAGCTGCCTCGATTGCGTGACAGAGGGGCGGGATATAAATAAAAATTATTATTATTATTATTATTATTATTATTATTATTATTATTATTATATTTAAAGAGTAATGATAGAGGTAGAACTAATAAGCAACCTATTTAGTTTGACAAACGGTATGGAAGTATAATGTTTGTTCTTGGATGTGAATATTTTGTTATTAGGTTGATATTTGCTGTCCTTTATGTTTTAAATGTATGTATTTTAGGCATTTTTTCCAAAGAAATAATAAAATATATTTTTTAAAAATCCAAAACACATATTAGTGATGCCTTTATTAAACAACCAGAAGGCACAAAAACAATTAGGCTACCTTTCACAGCTCACTGGCTTTTCAGGCAAAAGTGATTTTAAAAATGTCACATAGGGAAGACAAGAGTTGAGCTGTTGGCATCACAAAAACATCTTGTGGTGTCAAATGTTACAGAGCAATGCTTTCAGGCAGGCAGAAAACTGAGGGGGGCCCACTCCCAAAAATGAGATTGAGGAACAACAGAGACAAAGGCTGTCAAAGAAGGTCATACAATTTCAGTTCTATAGCTATTCCTTTGAGATGTGTTCCAATCCTCTGCAGTGGAGCCAAAAAGTTCCTATATTGGCAGAAATCAATTATCTTCTCTGGAATACCTGCACTACCAGGTCTGTAGATAAATGTAGGGTTGTGAAAGGCAGGGTAGATGTGGCCTTTGCTGCTAAGCTACTCTGTGATCATGTGGACAACATTATTACACAGAACGCTGTTTACCTTCCCACTGAAGTACTTATTTATCTACTTGCATTTGCATGCTTTTGAACTGCTAGGTTGGCAAAAGCTGGGACTAGTGACAGAAGCGTGCCCCGTCATGCAGCACCCAGGCCTCAAACTGCCAACCTGCCGATCTTGCTATCATTAGAGTCAGTGTCTTAACCACTTGAGCCACTGCATCCCACATTGCACTCTAGACTAGCATTATTATGGTTTTCAGAAGATCTGACAGTTATTTTAGAAATGCAACAGATTTCACAGCTTTTCTAGCTTCCTCTTAGATTGGAATGTAAGCACTTGCTGTTAATTGCCAAGACTGAGCTTGCTGGCCTGGGCGTTAGGTGGTCACTTAGTGTCTGTGAAAGAAAGCAAGATGTTTAAATCATAAACTGAAACTATTAGTCCTTGCATATTAGATTATGCTCTTCCTGCTTCCAGAGATTGAGCATGTTTCCTTCAGCTTCCTCATAAGTTGGTGTGATGCTTGTTAAGACAAAATTTGGCTATAATTCATCAAACTCCCCATAATCCCCAAAAAGAGGCACTTCAGAAAAGCACAACTCATTGTATACTTGCATTTAGCTCAGCTCAGATATATGTAATATATCTTCCTTATGCTCACTAATAACGTTGTGTTTTTATCCTGTAGCTTGAACAGATCTGTATTTCGTTTGATGGTGGCAAAACCACCATGAATTTTATAGAAGCAGCGCTGCTGATCCAAGGTTCTGCCTGCATTTACAGTAAGAAGGTGAGAAGGAGATTCTCCAAGTGCGTGTGTTTGTGTGTCATTTTTTTCTCCTGGAGCAGGATTGTTGGGAGTGATAACCCCCCAAAGTCTCCTTGGGAGCTAATGCAGTCTTTGGACAAAAGATGTTTGTTGT